GTAGCTTTGACGAAGAATCGAACGGCCAGGTCAAATTAGGACACTGGAGAGACGGTAACAATGACATGACTAGTATGTTACCCTTGCAAATAAGACCGCGAAGGGCTACAAGATCTGCTCACCATATTCGTAATGAAGTTGCTGAATACTGCATTCAGCAGGGGTCTGTAAGCTGGCAGGACAATTATGCTTAAAATGGACTTACCGTATCTGTTGAAGCACGAGGTGTATTTCTATCCAGTAGAAATATCATAGCTTTGTATGCAAACCAAGTACACTATGGTATACTTCATCTGCACCTGAAATTGAAGTTGAAATTAACAAACGTCGACCCAAAGTAGTATATTTCGTGAATATCGTAATCTATGGTAGAAAAATAATTGTAAAAAAAATAAATAAAAACCAAATTGTATCTGTTACTTGTGGGCCTATATACTTAAGAACTTAATAAATAATTACGTACCTTTTCCTGTACTAGTTGATTGTTTAGTTTTTTGTTTTTCCCTCCTCAATGATGCCAGTAAACTTGTCATTTTCTTTTTACATGTTTCTCTGTCGCTGTCGAATAACGAAGCCAATCTATTCCAAGCGTCTTCTTTCTTGTGTTTGTTATAATGTTCTGGATGAGCTGGGTTCCACAACACTTCCTCTTCTCTGTATTTCTCTATAAAATACAGAGTTTTTTCTTTGTGCCACTCCATGTTTTAAGAAATAAATACGAGAAGAACGACGTGTGATTACTCGCGATGCGCGTGCGCTCGGGACGACTTGCAAGAGCGTACTGACCGAACCACGTAACACTCAAAGGATTCGCCAAAAAACCGACAGCCGGGGTCAGTACCCACCTTAATAGGCATATTCAACTTAACTTTAACAACTTGTGCGTTCACTGAGCAATGGAAAACGGCTCGAAATTGTCCGATATTGAAAATAGGCGACTCTAGCGATATCACAAACTACAGGTCAACATTAATTTAATGTAAATTTTCTAAACTATTCGAGATATGTGTGCAAAATGTTGTGTACTCCCATATTCAAAAAGTTATTTCTCCTACTCAGCATGGTTTCGTACAACAAAGATCTTGTGTGACAAATCTTGCATGTTTGAATCAATAACTCTGTACGTACCTGAGACACTGCTTACTTTAATTGAATCATATCTCGTTGACAGAAAACAATTCATCGAATATGAATCTTTGCTCAGTACGTAGTTACATTTGGGGTACCACGAGGTGCTAATATTGGACCTCTTTTATTTTTTATTTTTATTATCATTTGGCAACCTCTTTGAATATTCCCAACCTACTATTTGCAGACGACCTAAAACTATATTATAGATTTGACGACGTTACAGATTGACAACGTGTACAACATGAACCAGATGTAATCAAACTTTGGTTTAGTGATAATCGTCTACAACTAAACGTATCCAAATGTAAAATAATATCATTTACAACAAAAAAGCAAACTTTAATTTACGATTATTCAATCAACAATACTACAATCAACTGCATACACGAGATAAAAGATCTTGGTATAACATACGACGGTAAATTAACATTTACAACA